GAGGCCCAGATCAACTTCCCTACCCCCCCCCCCCCCCCCCCAAACATAGAACAATAATGTGCTGGGGGTGGGAAGTGTGGAGGGAAGCTTAATAGTCCAAAATTTCAATGATTGCTTTAGTGGGTTGTAAAAGAAAACAATATAGCAACACTGGAGAGGGGAGGTTTCCCAACAGAACAGGTTAAAAATTAAGTTTATTATGTATTTATAAAATGAGGAGAGAGAAGAGAGACAGAAACAATACTTATTGGAAAGCTAAAGAGATCTCAAGAGCCTGACCCATCCTGTCTAGCCTGGAGGCTAAATTCAGTTCCTCAAACATGGGACAACCTCCAATTTGTGAGGGCGCTACAGTCATACTGAGGACAGCCACCTACAAATCTTGTGTGTAGGCACACACAGTGTCCAGGGCCATCTCAACCTGCATGAGAAAAAGTCACAGCTCCGGCAGATGACTCTTCCTGGAATACAAAAGTTGAGAAGCCATGGGGAAGTGCCTAGATACCTCCCTTTCGGGTGGTTAAAATGAGGTGGAACGATTCCTTGATGATTTCCTTCAAGGAAGCTTCAGTTAACCCTAGCTACCAGCCTCTGTAACCATTCTGCTCAGTTTCTCCAACGTAGGGCTGACTACAAGACCAGAAAGCATATCGGCTATTTTTTCACTCCCACTTAAATCAAGTTTGAGCTGTTTATGAAGGACCTCTAGCAATGCCAGCTGCACAGGGAATTCAAGAGGAAGCGGCTGGTGGTTCCATTCACAACCAGGACAGGCTTCACTCATTTGTAGGGCTGCTGAAAGCTTTGGTTTTGGTGCCTTTATGAATGTGGATGCCTGTTCTGAAACAGTTTGCTTACTCAGCCTGAAGTCAGGGGGAGAGGAGGCTGTACCGAGCTCGCATCTTCTGAAAAAGATCTTTTGAAAAAGAATCAGGCCCTCACAGAGTGCAACAACAAAGGGCAAACACAGGAACGACCACAGCCCCGAATGAGAAGCCAGATTTTAAAGCCCAGCTTTCCACTCTCCTGTTCGCTTCCCTCTTTTAAAACTGCTGAGCCTCACTGGGGCATTGCTTTACCTGTGATAACGTCGCTCGCTTTGCAACCATCTCAGGGCACCAAATGCATTGTAAAAGGGAGCTCTGGAAAAATCAGGGCAATTTGCGACGTGACAGAGCCTGAGAGGTGTACCAGTTGTGCACACAGAGGGTACTGTGTGTGCCCCCTGAGAGCTCAGCTTGGACACCTGGGCTATGGCAGTTCTTTAAAGATGCAAAGCAATGTGCCGTTTTCTTCAGTCTTTGCATAACTTCATGAATCGACTTTACTGAGCCAAGCAGTGTAAATGCCGCTTCATATTGAAATAGAAGCTGTCTTAGCGCTTTGTCCTTAGCACTGGTAATTCCGTTCCTACAGATAAGTGCTTCTGAGTGATGGGTTTATGAAATGGTACAAATCTTACTGCTTTTCTTGCTTGGTTCTCATTAATACCAATCAACTAACGTGACTGCCAAATAAAAAACCCACCACCTTTGCTTTGCCTCTTGTTCTCTGGATTTTACAAATGAAATGGCACTAACTCTCCCAGCAGCCTTGAAGCCTCATGTCAGCACTTAGCACAGCATCATGGTGACACCGGGATTACTTTTTGGCAGAGGAAGTTTTTCCCCTGTGTTTGATTAACTGCCTATAACAAAAAACATGGAGAAGAACTGTCTATCAGTTCTGTGTCAGCCTATGACGGAACACCTTATGTGATGGCAAAGAACACGAAATACATAAGAAATGACATGGATGTCACATCATTCTCTTCATGTGGTTAAAATGAGGTGGAACGATTCCTTGATGATTTCCTTCAAGGAAGCTTCAGTTAACCCTAGCTACCAGCCTCTGTAACCATTCTGCTCAGTTTCTCCAACGTAGGGCTGACTACAAGACCAGAAAGCATATCGGCTATTTTTTCACTCCCACTTAAATCAAGTTTGAGCTGTTTATGAAGGACCTCTAGCAATGCCAGCTGCACAGGGAATTCAAGAGAAAGCGGCTGGTGGTTCCATTCACAACCAGGACAGGCTTCACTCATTTGTAGGGCTGCTGAAAGCTTTGGTTTTGGTGCCTTTATGAATGTGGATGCCTGTTCTGAAACAGTTTGCTTACTCAGCCTGAAGTCAGGGGGAGAGGAGGCTGTACCGAGCTCGCATCTTCTGAAAAAGATCTTTTGAAAAAGAATCAGGCCCTCACAGAGTGCAACAACAAAGGGCAAACACAGGAACGACCACAGCCCCGAATGAGAAGCCAGATTTTAAAGCCCAGCTTTCCACTCTCCTGTTCGCTTCCCTCTTTTAAAACTGCTGAGCCTCACTGGGGCATTGCTTTACCTGTGATAACGTCGCTCGCTTTGCAACCATCTCAGGGCACCAAATGCATTGTAAAAGGGAGCTCTGGAAAAATCAGGGCAATTTGCGACGTGACAGAGCCTGAGAGGTGTACCAGTTGTGCACACAGAGGGTACTGTGTGTGCCCCCTGAGAGCTCAGCTTGGACACCTGGGCTATGGCAGTTCTTTAAAGATGCAAAGCAATGTGCCGTTTTCTTCAGTCTTTGCATAACTTCATGAATCGACTTTACTGAGCCAAGCAGTGTAAATGCCGCTTCATATTGAAATAGAAGCTGTCTTAGCGCTTTGTCCTTAGCACTGGTAATTCCGTTCCTACAGATAAGTGCTTCTGAGTGATGGGTTTATGAAATGGTACAAATCTTACTGCTTTTCTTGCTTGGTTCTCATTAATACCAATCAACTAACGTGACTGCCAAATAAAAAACCCACCACCTTTGCTTTGCCTCTTGTTCTCTGGATTTTACAAATGAAATGGCACTAACTCTCCCAGCAGCCTTGAAGCCTCATGTCAGCACTTAGCACAGCATCATGGTGACACCGGGATTACTTTTTGGCAGAGGAAGTTTTTCCCCTGTGTTTGATTAACTGCCTATAACAAAAAACATGGAGAAGAACTGTCTATCAGTTCTGTGTCAGCCTATGACGGAACACCTTATGTGATGGCAAAGAACACGAAATACATAAGAAATGACATGGATGTCACATCATTCTCTTCATGGAATCACAGAATCATAGAACTGTCTAGGTTGGAAGGGACCTTTAAGATCATCTAGTCCAACCATTAACCTAACTCTAATAAAAACCATCACTAAACCATGTCACGGAGCACTATGTCTATCCAACTTTTTAAGTATCTCCAGGGATGGCGCCTCAACCACTTCCCTGGGCAGCCCATTCCAATGCTGAATAACCATTTAAGTGTAAAAATTTTTCCTAATATCCATCCTAAACCTCCCCTGGTGTGGTGGGGCTGTTTCCTCTTGTCCTATTGCCTGTGACTTGGGAGAACAGACCGACCCCCACCTCTCTACACCCTCCTTTCAGGTAGTTGTAGAGAGCAATAAGGTCTCCCCTCAGCCTCCTCTTCTCTAGACTGAACAACCCCAGCTCCCTCAGCCTCTCCTCATAAGACTTACTCTCCAGACCCCTCACCAGCTTCATTGCCCTTCTCTGGACATGCTCCAGCACCTCAATGTCTTTTTTATGGTAGGGGGCTCAAAACTGGACACAGTACTCAAGGTGGGGCCTCACCAGTGCCGAGTACAGGGGGATGATCACCACTCGGGCCCTACTCACCACGCTGTTCCTGATACAGGCCAGGATACCATTGGCCTTCTTGGCCACCTGGGCACACTGCTGGCTCATGTTCAGCCGACAGTTGACCAACACCCCCAGGTCCTTTTCTGCCAGGCAGCTCCAGCCACTCTGCCCCAAGCTTGAATCCCTGCATGGGGTTGTTGTGACCCAAGTGCAGGAGCCGGCACTTGGCCTTATTGAAACTCATCCCATTGCCCTCGGCCCATCCATCCAACCTGTCCAGATGCCTCCGCAAAGCCTTTCTACCCTCCAGCAGGTCAACACTGTCACCCAACTTGGTGTCGCCTGTGAACTTCACCTCGACTCTCCTCATCCCACCATCTCTCACAGATTTACCACTGCATTCACGAAAAACAAAATGGGCACAGTACGGAGACCAACAACGATGTGTACACAGAAACAGGCTTTCACTAGAATATCTGTACAGTAAGGTCTTCAAGGATTCGCCTAATTGCTTCACTGGATCTGTCTTAATGAACTTTTCGATTCATATCTATCTCAGGATTCATTATTTCCTTCAACTCAGCCTAAGGATGACTGACGAGCTCATGGAGGCCAGCAGCATCACTAGTCGGATTGCACTGCATTTTCTTTGTATTTTTCTGTGAAATTAACAAAGTAACAATCAAGAAATTATTCCAAAGGTATTTATTTCTTTCTTGTACATTAATTAAAAATAAAATCTTACCAAAAAAATGGAACTGTACTTTACTGAAATATATAATCTTACTCATACATCAACCCTTTATTTTAATATAAGCTAGAAAAATAGAAATTTCACCTTGGACCCATATAATATTCTTGTAGTACTGTCTAGAAAACTATGTTAAAATAATTTTTTTTCCTTGAAAAGGGACAGTGCACATTGCTTACCCAGACATACATAAAAGTAACAAAAAGAATTCAGTGCAAATTTTTAAAATAAGCATTCATGGAATCACGGAATCACAGAATTCTTGCAAGTTGGAAGGGACCTCTAGAGATCATCTGGTCCAACTCCCCTGCTAACCAGGATTGCCCAGAGCACATTACTCAGGACTGCATCCAGGCGGGTCTTGAAGATCTCCAGAGAAGGGGACTCCACGACCTCCCTGGGCAGCCTGTTCCAGGGCTCTGTCACCCTCACTGTGAAGAAGTTCTTCCTCATATTTGAATGGAACTTTCTATGTTCCAGCTTGAGCCCATTGCCCCTTGTCCTATCGCTGGGAACCACTGAAAAGTCTTGCTCCAACATCCTTCAATCAGCCCTTTAGATACTTATAAACATAAATAAGGTCTCCCCTCAGCCTTCATTTGTCCAGGCTAAAGAGTCCCAGCTCCTTGAGCCTTTCCTCGTAAGGAAGATGCTCCAATCCCTTAATCATCATAGTTGCCCTACGTTAGACTCTCTCCAGTAGTTCCCTGCTTATAATTTCATATCATATTCCATATAATCCCATTCAGTCTATAATTCCTTTCATACATGATTTCTAAATGGCTAACCGTTCAGGTTTTTCATATTCTGAAAAAAGAGCTGATCAAAGTCATGTGAAAAGAAAGTTGAATGCGCTATTGATTCTTTGTCTTGGAATTTAGTTTTCAGCAAGGTCCTAAGAAACTCTCTTGGAGCTCTCATTTGACTTGAATTTGCCAGAGTGGAAGCAAAATAATTTTTAACTTCTGATCTAAAATGCTTCAAATACATTCAAGCTTCACATGACATTTTGGCCATTTGCTGCAGGTGTCGGTGAACTGGAGTCATAGTTAAAATTTACAGAAGTACATATTCATTATGTTCAACATCTTTTCAGTTATAACTTTTTCAAAAAGTTTCATAGCAAAGTCTTAAATATTAATGGGAGTTTGATAAAACAGATATTTCAGTTAAAAACATCAGGCTGCATCTGACAGATCACTAAAGGACCTCATTAGCATCCCTTTTTCTGCATGTTTTATGGAGACTCAACATTTTGGTTGAAGTTCACTCCACAAAAAGTGCCTCTCACATGATTTAAAAAATAATAAATAATTAGGTCTTTTTTTTTTTTTATCTGGAGGATTACATAGTTCTCAACACAAAATGTACATGTTATTTTATACATTTCTAAAGTTTCAATCCCTTAGATAAAGGAAGCAACTTCATCTGCCCTTCTGAACACACATCCTACCTCCAGGGTCAGCACTTCGAGAGTCTGACTGTCTGCACAACCAGAGCCAGGTGACATCTTCTGGATAAAGGGTCAGGGTTGGATAAAACCATTTAAATCAAACCCAGTGAAATAATTTCCAAAAATGTAAATGTCCTAAAAAATAGAGTTAACTTTTTTACTTTTCACTTTGGATGATTCTAAGTCTGAACATTGGAATTCTAGTCCAAAAAGGCCATCTTGCTGAATATGGCTAGGTTTTGAAAAAGAAAGGAGGAAATTGCATACAACATATTTCGCTATGCAGCTTATAAAAGTTGTAATTATGGCCACAAAAATCATCTACTCTTGTTAAAAAAAGCGTACAAAAAAATTCATACAAGAAAAAAAGAAAATTCATACATAATCAAGCCCTTATTTAAGACTTGCTCGAGGATGCCGTTGGTCTGACCTTGCAAAATACTTAGGCAGGTGCTTAATTTTAAGCATGTGAGTCGTGGTGCCAAGAGAGGTTTTATGGTGAAGACTAATGCACAAATATTAGTTAAGACTGGCTCTTCCACTTCAAGATAAGCATGGACGTAAGTGCTTTGCTGGATATGGATCAGGATGCTCAGCACCTAACAGGGCTTTAGGCGCCGATCCAGCAAAGCACTTACCCACACCAACAACTACACTGCTGACTTTAAGATCACTGCTCATGTGCTTAACATTAGGCATGCTCGTAAGTGCTTTCCTGGAAGGGCCCGATAGACCAATAGTGTGTAAGCTATAAAATTTGAAGCAGTGTATGTTTAACACACCGCATATTTAACAATGTTAATCTGCTGAGATTTGCTTTTTCTTGGAACAGGGCACGTCTAACTTCAAGCATTTATTTTCAGAAAGTGCGTAAAAAAAGCCTTTAAAAGCTGCTTTGAGATTATGGCAAGTTAAAATAATATTAGCAAGTCTTCGTATGTTCCTTTCATTTCTTCTTTGCACGTCTTTGCACAGGCATCTGAAAAGGAAAGAGAAACCCCGAGTCATAAACATAATGTATTCAAATAAGCATCCATGCACTTAGTTTCCCTCTAAAAAACATCCTCAGATGCAACTGAACACCTGAAAACAAGCATCACTGAACTCTTCTGAATTCCAGATCTGAATGCAAGTTCTGCCAACTATGCCGCCTTCTCCACTGAAAATATTCAAATCACCAATTGTCACTTCTACAAATAGAACCAAATGTATTACTTAAGACTGAAAATGATGTGCAAGTCCAACCCTTACACATCCCGAAGTCAGTGCTGGTATTTCCACGTGAAGTTTTCCATGCCCACTGATGTCAACCCATTTGCAAAGCGAACTCTAAAAAAGTGGAAACGTAAGAGCTGCTTAATCCCAAAACAACAACTATAAAAGCATCACGACTCATCAGATATTTACACAAACACGCAGAGATGGCCTGTTAATGCCAAAAAGAAGTAAAGTAAGACGGCGTTTCCATAACGGTGCTGGCGCATTGTTTCATACTAAGCTAAACAAGGAAGAAATAGCAAAGCAGCACTTCATAATGACCTACTGCTACTGCTGGCCAGGCAGAGTAACTATATTTAAATCCTCGTTGTGGTAGGAAATATTGTTTTATGTATTTGGCACCACATGCTCTTCATAACTTCTTACAGCTACACGTTGAGGAAGTTTCAAAGTTACTAAATGTATTTCATTCTTTCCTAAAGGGAAAAGAGTTTTTGTTTTCACGTGAAAGCTCTAATGGCTTTTGGAAATGGCTTATTTTTTTTGTCATGCATAAATTCCTGCTCAACCAAAATCACAGTCACTAATAAAATTACTATTGTTGTAAGTTACGGCATAAGCTGGCAGCTGAAGTCGAGATGTGACACACTAAAGAACAAGGCATCTACGCACAGAGGAAGAACTTCAGGCTTAGTCCTTGAGCGCAGCGGCAGATGGGAAAGTCATGTACAAAGAAAGAAAAACCCATCGGTACCCCAGATCAGAAGTCAGCACAGAATTGTCCTCCTTCTGTCCTAAGTTCTGACCAGAGAAACTGGGACTTTTTCTTAGAAGAAAGGTTCTTGAACTGTTCAGTCAATGAAAAGACGCATTTCCAAAACTTATTTCACAAAACTTTTGAACTAATAAAAACCACATCCCTAAAACTAGTAGATTTAAATATCCAGAAGAAGAGCTTCTACTATGTCCTACCTCATAGTTCCTGTTTCTAATGTAACCCTCTCCCACTCTTGGTTTTCCACTCAAATGTCCATCCCATGCTTCTCTGCCTTCTTAACATTTTCTGGTGCTTGGAATTGGCCTTCCATTAATAGATACACAATTCCTTTTCTCTCTTTTACTGAAATACTAAGATGTTTCTTACTGCACAAAACTTCTCTGTTAACATGACAGCATGTGCCTGCTCTTTTTGCTTTTTTTTTTTTTCATACCATTATCCTGCACTTTGAGTGGTAGTTTTTGAAAACTGCCATCACTGGCACGTCCCTTCTCTTCCTGATATGAAGCTGGGGGTTTTCTTTGACAGTCCAATAAGCTGCTGGGCTAGGCCAAATGTTTTTCAAAATCTAACCCTCCCAGTTCATGACTGAATTGCTCATTCTGGGCTCACCAAATGCTAGTTCTTTCCAACCATAGAATTGTCTAAGATGGAAGAGAGATCTTTCACTTCGTTGAGTCCAACCAACCAACCATCACAGCAAGATAGCAACGACCCATTGGATAAACCAATACGTGCTGCTACAGGCCTGGTCTTCACTTACAGCCCAGACAAGTAAGGCAGAAAAAACCATCAAGATGGCAATTCAAAAGGTGGTGCCCATAGAAACTGCCACATACATTGATACCTACCATTAATTTTTAAACTTTACTGATAGGGCTGGTGAAATTCTGCTAGAGGCACTTGAACAACAAGGCAGTGTGGTACAACAGAAATTTCTCCACATAGCAATTCCTGGGGTTTTTTGGGACTCTTACCAAAGAGCACAGCGATATGATGAGAGGTAATAGTTTTAAACTGAAAAAGCGTAGATTTAGACTAGATACAAGGAAGAAATTCTTTACTGTGAGGGTGATGAGACACTGGAACAGGTTGCCCAGAGAAGCTGTGGATGCCCCATCCCTGGAGGTGTTCAAGACCAGGTTGGATGGGGCTTTGAGCAACCTGCTCTAGTGGGAGGTGTCTCTGTCCATGGCAGGGGGGTTGGAACTAGATGATCTTTAAGGTTCCTTTCCAGCCCAAAATATCCTATGATTCTATTGCTCCCCACCTCCTTATATTGTTTCAGAAAACTGACATTCATTACTGGAATGTCATTAAAGCACCAAATGGCCTGGGATTCTAACTGAAAAACCAATGAAGCCTCTGCATCTGAACCACACACTTCTCAACCTACATTCAAACACTAGTACTATGGGCCGATTTTCAGAGATAAGGAAGACTTCCAGTAGTGATTCCTAATGCCTGAAAACCATTTTTTTTTCCTAAGGAACTTCATTTTGATTCTAGGTAATCCACTTCAGACAAACATTTTTCGAACTGGAAGCATACTAACTGTATGCTATTGGGAAGCCATTCACATTCATTAAATAAATCTCTCTGTAATTAGAGACAATAATTCCACAGATTTCCAAATATATTCCTCTATCTGGAATTCCAACCATACTGACTTCCCCAGTTACAAACTATGCCCGACACTGTAGAAAAAATACTGGTTTGAAAGGCGTGCAAATCCCAACAACAACTGCAAAACTGCAGACAGCACAGAGCAAGGCTTCTCCTTCATTTTTGGTTGGAAGAGGATGCCACAGAGCTCTGAAACCTAAGAGACACCACTGTAATCCATGGGTTGTAAACAGCAAGTAAGTCTGGAGAAGTGGCATAGCTACTAAAAAATGAAGAAACTCCTAGTTCTCTGAAACTCCCCATTACCAAGGGTTACAGGCAGATTTGCAGATTCTCTACTGAGCTGAAGTAGCAAAGAATGACACATTTTAAGTGTGTCTTTCTAAAACACACATTGTAGTTGGCTCAGTGCAACCGCTGGTGGATGACACTATGAGTTAGTGTCGTGCAGAACTGGCTAGACCTATGCAAACCTATACACCTAGACCTGTACACCTCCAGGCTATACCTATAGAGCTATACAGTGACTCCATCTCTTTTTCAATCCTGTGAATCAGAGAAGCTGCAACATAGCAGACAGCTATCCTTCTGCATATATAGGAATATTCTGTAATGAGGGATGAATGCTCCCAAGAGTGAGTGATGTGTTTTAAGTAACAGTCCTACCTTGTGCAAAACTTCATAAAACAAACCTTATCCAAGACACCCATACTTAAGCTTTTGAATTACACATCCAGCTCCAAATAGGCTTCTCTAAAAGCCCAAGTTTTTTCCTTTAAACAGTTCTTTCCCTAATTTTTTCTTTTTGTTAGGACCTATTGACCTTGGAACTGAATATAAAAATACCCCTATATTGCTATGTGTTAAGAGATTTATCATGTAAGCCCAAAGTGATGTTGTACTTCTTTAAGGACTAAAATTTATACACAGGAAAATATCAAAACCCCTTAAGAAATGTCGTGAAGCTTAATCTAACTCTTGAAACATACAGCAAATACAAGCAGCACAGATTTGTTACAAAAAGCACTTTATTGCATTACATGCACATTGACATTTATTGCAGCTTGTTTCCAGCATATTCAAAACAAACAAAATCCCAATATAGACGCTATCTTTGCCTCAATAAATTGCCACCAACGGCAATGCTTACATCAGCACTTAGATTTGGGCCAACATAAAAATCTAACAATGTCATCCTACTCTGGTGTTATACTGGGTAAAAATCTCCAGAAAGTCTCAAAAAAATAACGCTCCTTATGAACAAAAAAACCCTCCCCTTAAAAATTAACTCAAAGGAGGGCACATTTCCAGCCCGGAATGGAGTGCAATGGAGAAAACTCTGTGGTGGCCTTGACTGAGCTTGCTCTAGAACAAGCAGTGGTACAGTATGGTGCCGTGCTAGACCTTGCTTCTCAGCTCACAGGACCATGCTAAGGCAGCCAGGTTGTCTTCCTGACCCAGGCTGGACCATCTGCATGGTACTGCCCTGCCGCACTGAGGCACAGCAGCTCTGTCCCACACTAGTTCCCAGATCTCTTCATCACCCTCCACCACGTAGATACAAACATGCCCTGCGTACACTATGCTAACAAATAACACCAGGAGATGGTCTTTAGCTTAACGTAAAAATAACCACTTTTCAAGAACAAGTCTTTATTTTGATGTTTTAGGTTTGGAGCTGAAGAACATAGAAATGGATTTCATTCCACTCTTATCAACTTTGGCCAGAGCCTTCTGTGCTGCAGACATCTTGCTGTTTGCCTGTCAGTGAAATGATAAACAGAGTAAGTTAAGCAGCATCTCCATCAGAAGGGAGCATGAGCTACAAACTCCTAAATACAGAAGTCAAGGAAGAAGTCGAATTGCTTTTTTAGTATACAGCAGTAAAGATAATGTTATGCGGGCTTTGAATTGTAGGAGAAAAACCTTACTAAACAAATTTGAGATTATTCAAACAGAAACATACTTCTCACGAATTACTTAACCTCAGACAAAGACAGAGAATCAATTACAAGGACAAGGAGGTGAAACATCTTTCCTTTCTGCAGAATGAGGTATCCCAACTCAAACGTTTACTTTGGGATAATCCCTGAGTGTGCATTAAGAGGAATAATGCATGCAATATAACAGATGCATACTGTACCCTCCGACTCAATCTCATGATTATGCTGTCAGCAGGCTGAATTACAGCCTTGCATTACAGATGATGAATAATTCACACTGATTTATTATGAAAGTCTCTATGCACAGTGAAATAAAGAGAAAATAGATGGAAGAAGTAAGAATGAAGAAGGTAACTAACATTTGCAAAGCACTTCGAGGCCACTGGGAAAACTTCCCAGACTTTTACACCTAAA